GCCTGATGACACCTCACCTTCAATGACTGATTGTGACTGGCTTGCTGCTGAAGGTCATGGTAGGAAGCATGTTCCTGACTCTTCCCTTTGTTGTTCCTGCTGCTGGAGAACTGGAAAACCCTCTTCCATTTTCAATGGTAGCCACTGGTGGTATTTATAAAGCACAGTCACACTTGCACATGCAGACATGCATCTCACTGAGAACTGAAGATGTCAGCAGTGCTTTCACTGTTCCTCTTAGGATTTATTCTAAGTTATTTTTGGGTATCTTGTATAACTGATCTCTTAAGCCCTCTTAAGTTTAATTTTAGACTTGGCAGAGTTTATCCTGCTGTGCTGTCCTTTTCCAGATGCATCTTCTCCCCCTAACCAGGCTCCTGGAGAGTCTTTAGAGAATACAGAAAGACTGTTCAGAGAAGCAACAAGAAGAGTCTCTGGGATTCATCCCCTGAGAGCCCTGCCTTCACCCGTTTGTGGCTGTGATCCTGACAGGGGAGAAAGCCAAGCAGTGACCTCTCCTGCACTTCACTCAGGCAGAAAGAAGAGGTGGGACCTGGCTGGAATTCTCTGCACTTCTGCACAGGAGCTGTGGCCATGGACAATGCATGTGAGGCTCTGTGAGCTCAGCAGCCCCAGGGAGCTGCTGGAGGCTGAGCAGAGGGGGTGGCCAGCACCTAAGCAGCCACAGGCAAAGCACTTGGCACCAGCTTCTCCTGTGCCTTCCCAAGGGTGAGGGAGAAACATCACCTGTGCAAGTCCTTGCAAACACACTCACCCCTAATCACACTGCCCCTGCAGGGGCTCAGCTGTGCCTCTGCTGGGCTTCCCAAGGAGGGGGCACGTCACAGGGATCTGCAGGACTGTGAGACAGCAAAAGTCCAAAATTTATCTGTGGCTAATTAATCCTAATGAATTAATCTAATTCTGTATGTGTGCAGGTCTGTGAGTATTTGTAACTTGCTGGGGGAATTCAAACTGGAGCAGCCAGAGAATGGGAGGAGATGCATCTGGAAAGACTGAGCCGGGGGGTGGGGAAGAGTCTTGGGGTTGTGTGGGTAATCGATGTAGAGCCCATGAAAATATCTGAGGGTCCACCAATGTGATGCCCCCATGCACCTGCAGTGGGAAGAGGTGGAGGTGTTCCAGCAGGATCTGCAGCCCTGGATGGGCAGAGGAGGAAGAGGAGGGAGTCTGGTGCTGGGGGGATGTTTCTGTGGGTGCTGATGAAGGCACAGCTCTCTCTGAGGGTCTGTGTGGTCAGAGACATCAGTGTCAGGCTTGCACATGTGTGTGTGTGTGTGTGTCCAGCCTGGATGGGAAGGGCCCAACAGCAAACATGTGAAGGAGAAAGAATTCCCTGGGACTTCTTTAAGCTTCCTGGGATCACGCTCAGCATCCTCTCAGACAAACTCCCTGGGACTTCTCCCATGCCGTGCAGCTGGGGAAGCTCCCTCAGCTCTGCAGGGTGAATGCATTTCCATTGCAGGTGGGCGAGTCCCAGACACCTCCTTTTCCCTGCAGAGTGGAGGAGTGGGGCTGCCCCATTGCCTGCCCCACTGAAGGGGCAGTGGCACACACACAGGGCCAGCTGGGACTCTGCTGGAGGCAAATCCTCACACCAAGGCACAGCTCAGAGCTCAGCACCTCTCTAGCCTGAGCAATATATGAAAGCCCAAATTCCCCCGAGTTCAATCCTGCCAGAAAATCAAGACAAGCAGGTCCTAAAGAACCATCAGATGCCACGGTTTGCTTACTCCAGGGCACTGGGCTGCCCTGTCTGCCCTGCCCACACTGTGGGTACATCGCACATGCCTGGCAGTGGCATCCAGCGTGGAATTCCTCCCTGGGCCCCTGGAATTAGAGAGCTGCACTGGGCAGCTGAAAGGCAGGCCTAAGTACACAGAAATTGGGTTTGAACTCCAGCACACAGATGTTCATCCAAGCTGTGTGTGCCCTCTGCCTTCAAGCCTTTTGGAGACTCATGTTCTACTTCTTCCACCTAAAAGGTTTCTTTGCTCCTGTCCTCAGGACCTCTCACAGGCCAGGAGCCTGCTGCTTTAGACTGGAAATGAGGAAGAGGGCAGAGAAACCACCAAAAAAGCACTTCAGGACAATATTCAGTTTCTAACATGGCTGTTATCATAACAAAGAGCAGAATTTGATCTTCTGGGTCCTACTTATTGGTCCTGCATTCCCCAGTTCTTTCGTCTCTGAATCAGGGGTAAATGCCTGATTAATAATGACAGCAGCAAAATAAAAACAACCCTGAAAAAACCCTAGTTTGTATGTCTTGCAATGATGCAGTTTGAAAATATTCAAGTTAAATAAATTGACTTAAAAGAAATCTGGTAGTTCTGGCTGAACTCTGTTATAACTCTGCTTTTCATCTTGCAAAAGAAAAAGAAGAAAGAAAAGCTGTCTGTATCCACTTTGCATGAAATTTTACGAGTTCAAAAGTGCAGTTATGATGGAAATTTAAATGATTAAATTTCTTTTAAACAACATTCCCTTTTAGTAACACCCTGGCTCCCAGCCTACGACAGACAAGGTCCCCTTTTTTCCCACTAGTTCCTAACACATCTTTATCTCTCCAATTATATCTGGAGTCATGTGATTCTGATGAGATCCTACATCATCTACTGAGAGTAAAATCATTGTATTTGTCTAAAAAAAGATATAACCCTCAAGGGATCCCAGCCTAGACGAGGCTGAGGACTCCAACACTTCAGTGAAAAAAAGTACTACATGAGGGAAAATACAGGTTAATGGGCTCGCTCAAACTGAGTTGTATCGGGTTAATTACCAACTGAAATATTCAAACTTTGATTAAAGTCATCTCAGAGTACTTAATTGACTTTTTTTTCCTAATGAAAAATAGAGTGTTAATCTGTAAAATCAACATTTTTCAGTTGACCCTATTGATTTTGCTGGAGAGATATTTTCTTCTGGAAAATAAACAAGCTTACACAGAACTGCACAAAAATATGTCTTGAACCATGCAGATAATTATTTTCTCTTCCTCTGACAGCTGCCACTCATTGCTGCTGCCCATCAACGTTTCTTCTACCTCAGAATAGCTTGAGAATTTGCCCAATTTCTCAGCGATTACTCACAGCCTGTATTGCCTTTGGGATCTCTTTTAAACCTGAATGCTGTGCTGCTGTTCTCCTTCAGCAAACCCAATCCCTTCCAGCTTCCTACGTCTCAAAGTGGGAAAATGTAAAGCTTCCCACTTTTCCATTTCAGGCTTGCACTTCTCCTCAGTTTGCACATTCCCAAAGGAATGTTGCTAATTTTACCCCAGAGGTCCCATTCCCACGGTGGGTTCCCTCCTGGGGGGTTGGAGCAGGGAAGGGCTGTGCAGGGCAGGGAGTGTGGGCAGGGCTGGGAATGCTGCTGGTGCTGCCTGGGACTATGCCATGGCAACTGCTTGTTCCAGGCGGCAACTCTCCCTGATGTGACAAATCTTAGCCAGCATCTCAAAGCAAACATCTCCACGGGCTGCTCTCAAATCACGTCTAATTGAAAGCCAGCCAAGTCACAAGATTCAGCTGATTATCTTGGTAAGACCTGAAGGATGTGTACACACATCCATCATTTGGAGAGCTGGGAAGGAGTTTGGGTTTCCAAGTGATTGTGAAAATCGGGGGAACAGCAGTGCTGAGAGAGGTTTTCAATGATTTTAGTGTCAAATTAGAGCTGACTTCATTAAATCAAGGAGCTCTGAGTTGATTTAAGCGTTTGAAGCTGTAGAATGGGAAGGGGAGGGTTTCACCTGCTCATCCCAGAGGTGACACACTGTGCTGACCCTGAACCAATGTAAATATGCCAAAATAAATTAGATATTGGCAGTCTAGGATCCCTGAGACACCCAGAAAACTGGGAAAGACAAAGCCCAATGCTCTTCACAGAGGATGTAGCTGCTGTATGTCCCTCACCATATGAAGTCTTTCCTTCTCCTGTCCTCCTGTGCCTGCCCTGACTACTCTTTGGGTTTAGATGTCCTGTTTTTCCAGGCAGGAACCCCTGGCTTGGGGTATGGAAACAGGTAACTTTAACCTTTTTTTCCATGACTGCTAAAGGAAATGAACTGCAGCACACTGGAAATGAATATCCAGTTTTGAAATCAAGTGAAGAAAGTTGTGCTTGCATTTCCTCTTGTGAACCTTATTCCCAAGCATGTACCCAATAACTTTGAAACAAATTCTCATTAGTATTTTTTTTCTGCCTGAGTAATGCACAGTGAAATCATGCTGTATGGTGAGGTTTTTGGTCTCTCCAAACCTGGTGAGTCTAAGCATGGTGAAATGTCTTTACCTCTCAACTGATTTTCCACATTGTGAGCATGGTTTGAATCCTTTTTGTAGCCAAATGGAAAGTGGAACACAGGCAAGTGGATTTTGTTTGCCTGTGGCTATTCTACAAGCCATGTCATTCCACAGTAATTGCATCTTCTTCTTATTGCACACTGGCTTTTGTATTCCTTCCTAAGCTAGATCTGCAGAGATTCATACTGCCTTTTGGTTTAGCAACAAGAACACTGATGTTACACCAATTTGTGACTAGCAGAGGGTCCTGCTTTCAGCAGCCCCATTCCCTGCTATCCTGCTTTCAGCAGGGATAGAGTCAATTTGGTTCCTGCAGCAGGGACAGGGCTGAGTGTTGGGCTTAGGATGAGAACAGTGCTGACAACACAGGTGCTTTGGGTGCTGCTGAGCAGGGCTTGCCCAAATCAAGGACTTTGCAGTGCCTCATGCTCTGCCACTGAGGAGGTGCACAAAAAACAGGAGGGGCCACGGGCAGGACAGCTGACCTGAGCTGGCCAGGGGGATATTCCAGACCTTAGAATGTGATGCTCAGTGTGTAAACTGGGGAGAGTTTGCTGGGAGCTGCCAGGTGCTGCTTTGGGCTGGGCTGGGCAGCAGTGAGGAGCTGCACTGTGCAACACATTTGAGGGGGGGTTTAGTCCTCTCTCTCCTCTTTATTTTTATTACTTCTTGTTGTTGTATTTTACTTTATTGCAATGATTAAGGTGTTCTTTTCTCAACCTACTGATGTTGCCTTTCTCTGGCTCTGCTCCCCAGCCTTTTGGGGCAGGAGTGAGCGAGGGGCTGAGCAGCACTTAATTACCAGCTGTTAAACCACAACAACCTGTACATCCCAGTTGTGAGATCTGCCAGCCAGCCAGTTCTCCTAACCCCACACAAGGAAAGTTTTAACATTAGGATTGAGTCTGGTGTAATTTAAAACCCACGGGGATACCATGGTGATTGATCTTCCATCCCTTATGCATTTCCTCAGCCCTGAAAGCATCTGCTCATATTTTGCACTGACACTGGGGTAAGGCATCTCAGTTCCCTTTGAAATCTGGGACCTGTGTGTTAATCTTCCAGCACTTTGAAGTTTATCCCATTTGCAAGGAGCTACCAGAACTCCTCAGATGTTTCCTTTGAGGCTACTGGGTTAAATGGCTGAGAACAGACACATCCAAACACTCATGAGGAGCAGCAACATATCTAATAAGGAGTAGTTAGCTGCCTGGTCCCTGACTTTGCTCAGTGATGAGGCTCAGCCTGCAGGGCCTTTATGTCCATGTTTTATGGATGATAGATGTTCACACAGCGAGTGTGCCCAGCAGGATCAGGAGGACCTAAAATCCGAAACTCCCAGAGCACCGCAGACACAAAATATCCCCAACATGCTATAAAAACCTGAATGTCTGCAATAAAGCAATCACCACCACAGAAATCACAGCTATCATGTACCACAGGAAGGGAGCAAGAGTTCTTGTGAGGAACAGGAATAAATCTGTAAGCTCCTATGGCCAGACCTATTGCATCCTGAAAGCCAAATACCAGGGACTTGTTAGGAGGAGTTCACAAGTGCTTTTCTGCAATGGATCCTTCCCATGCTGTAAAGGAAGGCAAAAATTTGTTACTCTCCCTGTTATCTAGCCTGAGGGAGATTTCCCTTCTGATCCCAAATTAGATCATCAGTTTAATGTTCAGTGCATGAGCAGCCATACCAATTAGATCTTGAGCAGCTGTAATAATGTCAGCAGTGGCTGAGCAGCCTCCTCACACACTGCCTCCACCTGGAGCCAATTTCTGCTGCTTTAGATTAGAGAAGGCATTAAAACCTCCAGAAAACCTGCTGGGCACCAGTCAGCAGCTATTTTCCCCTTGGCTCCCACTGGTGCCCAGCAGCTCCCCCAGGGCAGGGATGTCACAGAGCAGGCAAAGAGGGCTCCTCCCAGACCTCCTCAAACACCAACACATCAGCTATGCAGGACTCACTCCAAGCCTTCTCGTGCCAGAAATGTTCCTCTTCTCTCCTGCAGTTCTTCCTGGCACTTTGGAAGGCTCCATTTCAGCCCGTGGGTTTCCTTTGCTCACACTGCCCTCTGTGGAGGTGAGGTCCAGACACACTCTGAAGGAACCTGTCCTTGGATTGTCACTTTTCCCCCTCGATTATGAGTTACTAAAGTCATATGATTTTCTTTATCCTTACAAAGGTAAAGTATCACTGCATCCCCTCTAGCTCTTCAGTCTGGTACACTACACAACACCAGCTTTCTTTTCTTGAAGGAGATTATCTTAACTACCTTGGAAATCCCAATAGAAATCCCACCTATTTCACCTTCCCCTTTTTCTTACCATACCTGTGCACCATGGCATTTACAAAACACACTGGTGTTGCCTGTGGTGCTGATTTTTCCCTAGAATAACCTCATTTTTTATGTCACAGCATTTGGCAGCTCCCAGCCGCCCCACAGACAAACACTGGCCCTCAACTTAGTTCTGATCTTCTCCCTGCAACTGGCACCTACCTGTGACCTCACAGAGCTTTAGGCATCTGGTGCTTTTAACCTTCTTTAAAATGTAATGCTGTTCTTACAACTCTGTCAGGCCAGCTCACATTTTCAGTTAGGCAGAAAAATCTCTCCTCTGTAATGCCAATATTCCCAGATTTTGTGTGCCATGTACGTAAGAGGCGCATTCAAAGCAGGATTATTCTCTTCAAATTAAAACTTCTGTGTTGGGAATTGCAAGGTCTTAGACAGATTCTCTTTTGGTCAGTGAAGCAAACATGTAATCCCAGGGCTCAGCTGATCCCCCAGGAGGAGCAGTGGAACCTCCCAAGGAGTGCTCCCTGCTCTCTGTAATGAGGATGTTGATCAGTTTGGGCACAGACACCTCTGTTTGCTGATGGCCACGGGCTGGCTGCAGGATTCATCTCGCCTTTATTTTTTTAAATGACACAAATTGTATTCCTAGCTCTTTTTTTTTTTTTTTTTTTTTTTTTTTCCCCTTAGGTTGCTAATCCCAGCAATAACAGAATCAGTCCCAAAAGCAAATTTGAGGACAACAAGAAACATCTGGTCTCCATTGGGATAATTCTCCCTTTTGTATTACGTGCCACAATCTCCTTGTAAGACTGTTCTTTAGTCAGTTTACAATTTATTTATCCCAATGATAATCAATAAAATAATAAATCTGCAATACAGGTTGATGCAAAAGGCCTCTCTGCTCCACTGTCTTTGTGTTGTCTCATGTGACAGATATTTAGGGAAGCCAATGACAGATATTTAGAGAAGAACAAAGGGGTGGGCACAGGGTGATTCTGCTCCTGTGCTCCCCTTGTCACACCCGTACTGCAGCAGCAATTTGGGGATTGCTCTAAAATCATCCTGTCAATAACAGGAATGGAGGTTTGCTCTCTGCATCCATGCAATTCTGTTTTGGCCTTCTCAACATTCCCTGGCAGGGAGTTCTGCAGGAAGGAGTATTTATTTTTGTCTGTTGTGCCTTTTTGCTCTGGAATCATGGAAGCAATCAGTGGTGTGTGTTGTCTGAGCTCTGTCATTGCCACTTGATGCCCACCAATGGGACATCTCTGTGCCCTGGGCTTTCTGTCCAGCCTGCAGCTCAGGCTGTTCAGTGCTCCGCAGTGTGGAGCCTTCCTGCCTCTCTCTCTGCTCTCACCATCCTCTTCACTCTCTGCAGCTCTTCTGGAAAGAATTTTCACTTGGACATACCACCAAATGTTTTTTTTTTTTGCAAATCCACAGAGACTGGGTCTAATCCATTACCCTTGTCTGAGAAGTGATTCATCTTGGTAAATGATTTACCTTTAATAAGCCCATACCTTTGATAAAACCTATTTGTTGCCATGCAATAAGTGCCTTCTCAGATAACTGTCCTAAAATCCCTGGGTCAAGTGGCCTGTACAATTTTTTTCCACTTTAAAATAGTGATGTACAGATTCTTCTTAACCAGCATTTTCATGTACCAATTATTTCAACATCCTCAGATGGAGATTATCCTAGCCCCCTGGGTTCAGTTCCTCTAGCACTGGAAATTTTATCTTTAATACAGAGCTCTACCTCCTCCATTTCTTTTACCACTCTTTCCTTCCTAACAATTTATAAGTAACAATTTTTACATTCCAGTCATGCGAATAAACCTGCCAGGTTTCAGTCATGCCAATTATATTGTATTTCTCATAATCCAGCAAGAATTCCCAAGTCCTCTTGCTTTTAATTATATACTCACAAGGTACTTCTCCCCAGCCCCTCTCTGGGCAGGCACCTATGGTGAATCACTGTGATGTGTGATGATCACAGGGGCGGGGGACAGAGGTGTTGCAGAGCCACTCTGCAGCTGTGAAAGGCTGTGGCAAGTTCTGGTGTTTATGGCCCAGATTTACTCATTTCTGCAGGAGAAACCTCTCTCCCTCTCTGGCTTCTCCTCAAGGCACGTGCAGAGCCCACACTTCTGACCAGCTTTGACGTTTACATCCAATCTAAATTCCACTCTCCTGTTTCCTCCTTCAGGAGAAATAGGTGGCGTAGAGCACAAAAAGGACTACAGACCCCTTGCCCTCCAAAAAATTCAATCCAAACCCACAAAACAAGCCATGCATACCCATTCCTGCTCTCTTGGTTCTGGGGAGCATGGTGAGCATCCTTGTTTATTTAATGGGACAGTACTGTCAAAAGGCAGCTGGGCAGCTGCTCTTCCCCTCTGGCTGTGGATGTTAATACTGAGCTTGTCTGTTCACTGGCAACTAAAGCAAGGTCTGAGTTCATGGGTTTTTCTGTTAACAATAAAGCAAACACATAATTGAGCAAAACTGGCTGACTTTTCATTGCTTCCAAGCAACTCAAACTACTTCCTACTCTCAAACTCCCCTTTAGAAGTTGATATGCCACCTTGCCTACTTAATGTGTTAATTTTTTCATGGGGTGTGTGTTCTTGAGTCATGGAACCCACCAGCAGGCTCACCACTGTTGCTGTCAGTGCAGCACTTTTGTGGTGCCTTGTGAGGTGCCCAAGCACAGACTGTGTGTGTGCAACAAGATACAAGCTCAAAGTCACAGTTATAAGGAAATTAAATGCTGGTGAGCTTGGCTCTGAGACATCTGGCCCTGGCCAAGGAGTTCACAGCCCAGGAGGAGGCTCCAGGTGCAGCCTGGGAGGGCAGAACAGGGCTCATGAGCAGCACAGTCTGCAGAGCTTTATCCTCACCCCCTTCTGAGGCTGGGTGTGTGTTGCTCCTGCAGAAGGCACCTCCACCTGTGTGGTATCCAAAGCACTGAACCCACTCTGAAAGGGAGAACCTCTTTCTAGCAGACTGGGATTCAGCACACTTTTGAATCAGAAATTGTGCTAAATAATTACAGGACTCCCCCACCAATGAAATAGAAATGCTCTAGTCCCTCTTTTCCCAGAGGGGATTCAAAATTACATTTCTCAGGTACTAAATGCTTTTTGAATTCTTGAGCTGTCCTAGACATGCTGGATAAAAATAAACTCTAGATTCACAAATTATTTCAGAAATAATCACAGCATTCAATCTCTGTTAGAGCTGTCAGTGGAAACCAGAAACTGGCACCAAGAGGCAGGCACGCTCCACTGGGCTCTGCACAGAGAGGATGGCATGCTGCTTGCACCTCAGCCTCTGGAATCTAAATGCACATTGCAGATAAACAGTGGCAAGGAGAAGACACTCAAAATTTTGTTTGCTTGCTGCCTAAATGTCACTTTAAGGTGTGACTGCGTCCCAGCCCATTCAGCCAACTGGGAGCCCTGGAATCCTGTTCCCTGCAGCATCAGGGCACCTGTGACCTGTGTTGCAGCTGCACCAGTGCAAGGAGCAGAAAGTTTTGACAGTGTGGCTGGAGGAGAGAGAAATCAGAAGCCTAGTGGCTGGAGGAAGAATGTGACTCGTAGCTGTGAAAGTTTGGAGGCTCTGGAGAGTTTTGGCAGTGCCACAATCACACAGTGAGCTCCTGGCATTGACATGTGCCTTGTGGGATCCAGCACAGAATCACAGAGGACCCTGCATGGAAAGGGACCCACAGGGATCATCAAATCCAGCTCCTGGCCCTGCACACACACCCCAACAATCCCACCCTGTGCCTGAGGGTGCTGTGCAGACACTCCTGGAGCTCTGGCAGGCTCGGTGCTGGGACCCTGGGCAGCCTGTTCCAGTGCCTAAACACTCTCTGGGAGAAGAATCTTTTCCCAATATTCAACCTAAATCTGTCCTGACACAACTTGAGGCCATTCCCGTGGATCTTGTCACTGGTCACAACAGAAGAGACCAGTGCCTGACCCTCATGAGGAAGTTATAGACTATGATGAGGTCTCCTCTCATGCTGCTTAAATTCAGACATCAGTGAGTCAGGGAGGAATCAGGGATGGGATGGGAGCTGTGGGAATGGTGCTGACCATGGGCTCTGGCCATATGTTCTGCTGACAAAGTGTGAGGCTGTGAGTGACTGTGGAAGGGACTTTGCCTGGAGCAAGGCTGCTGCTGCAGTCACTTCGGAGTGCTGCTGGTAGAGCTTTAAGACAGATGCTATTGACAGTGTACAGTGCATTTGAGCTGGGGATTTTGACTAAATTAATCCATCACTATTTAACAGTATTAATACAATGCTGTTTAACACACAGCCATGACTGTGTGACTGGTGATGCCTGCAGGGCTGGGCTCAGCAGGTGTGCTGAGGATGGGGACAAGCCTCTGGGGTGGATTCCTCACAGGGAGATTGAGTAGGGGCTGTCTGTGTAAGCACAACCCTGTGCTGCTGGGCTGGGGCTGGTGCCTCGGGGCCCTGCAGCTCAGATAAAAAGATCATCAGTCAGGCTGCAAAAGGCCATGACAACACTCTGACAGTCTGGCATTACAAAGCCATCAGTCTGAGTGAAGAGCTGTCGGGTATTTTATGTTGGCACTATTAGGGACAAATTTAGACCCGTGTCCATTACATTGTTCCTGTCCTTCCCAGGAGAAGATATGGTAAATGTGAAAGAGGCAGCTGTCTGTCTAAGCCAGTATATCCCTGTACCTGCCTGGTTATTTCCAAAGGCTGGTCACTCCTAGTCTGCAAACTGAAGAGTTTCAGATAAGAGGAAACACTCACTGAGCTGCTGTGGGGGTGTGGGGAGGGAGAAGCAACCCCTTCTCTCCTGCTTTCACCATAACTTTTTAAAGCTGGCTTCCAGCTCTCTCCTGAAATCACCCACTACAGCACAGCTTTGTTTACCCGGTACAGAATAGATCACTGTTTCTCTTCTCCCACAGATAACTCACTTTTCTGAGTGGGCTAGAGTCACACAGTTACAACTTATCTCACACATAAATCTGGACTTGGAAAGATTTCAGTATCTGCCAGAAATGTGGGCATCCTTGATCATGCCAACCCCAGCTAAGATGCTCAAAAAGCCATAGTCTTAGGTTGCTCACTCAGGCTGCTGTGGCCTAAGCTGATTCCCCAATCAGTAAGACAAATAAGCTTTTTTTTTTTTTTTAAATCCTGTGTTTTTCTTTCTAACATCAAGACTGTTGCTTTGGTGCTCTCATTTCAGCCTGGAGCTGTTGCAGTCCCAAGGCTGGAGTTCATGAACTTTCCTTTTTTAACATTAAATTGAGTTTTAATAAACAACTAATTCTGCAAGTACTCTACTCAAAAAAACACCAGGGAGAATACACAACCCCTTGGGATTAAACAGGCTGTGAGCACTTCCCCAGGTTTGCCCCATTTAATAGTACATTCTCACAGAGAATTCTGTTAATTTTACCAGAATTCAACCCTAAACTTCCCAGTGCCAGAGGGGCTGTGTTCTCAGGGACATAACACATCTGTGGTTAACTGTTCCTGTCTCCCAGTAGTGAAGAACCAACTCCCTGATCTACTCCTAAGGCAATGGCAGATGGGACAGGATGGGAACAGCCCAGCGAGGAACAAGTATCCACAACCCATCATCTCATACTGAGTCACATCTGTAAACTTTATTTTTCAGTCACATTATCTAGAAAAGAGCTCTTTCAAAAGCAGAGGGTGGATATTAGCTCTAGCAGACAGCTCTGGGAGTAGGGGCTGTCAGTTTGCATCTGCTGAGATTTAAATTGGTCCCAGGGCAGCTGCCTGCCATCCACCCTCCAGTGTTTTATTCCTTGGGAAATGCCAGGCTGCAGCAGAGGAAATGAATGCACTGATAAGCTGGAGAGATGTCTTTTTGAGTGCTTCCCAGCAAGTAAACGGCTGAGCAGGGAACAGAAATGAGCTTTCTTGTGCCCAGTTGAGCCCTTTAACTGCATTTCTCTGTTCAATAAACACACACCCCAGGGAGGGCTGGCGGGCGGTCATTGACTTCGGCGAAGAGCAGAAAAGAGGCAAAAGCTGGTAAAACCCGTGGCCTCTGTGCTGCCCCTGCCAGGCAGCCCGCCGGCCTGGGGGCGATTGCTGTCGGGTGTCAGGGGCTGCCGGAGGAGCCTCCGTGCGCTCCGGGAGCGCTGCGGGAGCGCTGCCCGCTGCCCCCTGCCCGATACCCACTGCTCGCTGCCCAATGCCCGATACCCACTGCTCGCTGCCCGCTGCCCGATACCCACTGCTCGCTGCCCAATGCCCGCTGCCCACTGCCCGCTGCCCCCTGCCCGATACCCACTGCCCGCTGCTCTCTGCCCGCTGCCCGCTGCTCTCTGCCCGCTGCCCGTGTGCCCGGGCTCACACGCGGCTGCTCCGGGGTTCAGCCGGAGAGCTCAGAGCCTGCAGCAGGCAGCAGGTAAACAAGCAGATCCCTGCCCTCGCACAAACAGGTTGCTTTTCAACACAGAACTGTTAAACCCCTGCCTCTCTCGGCTGCTCTAAGGTACGGCACAGAACCCGTCGCTTATCGCACCGAGGCGAGCACAAAGCAACACAGGCCGGGAGGAAGTTGTTTTATACTTACCAGCAGCATTGATATTTTCCTCACAGGAGTACCAGATCCCAGTGTGGAAATACCTGAAAAGGAAGCGGTCATCTCCCGTCTCCCAGCTGTAATGAACCACATTCTGGTTCGTCTCATTTGCAGTCTCATTCCCGCCGTAGTTGAGGCAGTTTGTCTTCTTCTCTTTCCCACAGCTCGGCTTGGGGACCCTCTGTGTGCCCTCACACCAGTGGGTCGTGATAAAAGCTGTTGTAGAGAAGAGGAGAGCCATCAGATTCAGACTCACTGCTAGCAGGGCTCTGCATCTTCGATTTGTCTTCATGGTAAATCCGCCCTCCCTCCCCCTCCTGCTGAGAGAAGAAGTCAAAGGGGTTTGTTTTATTTGGGAGGGGGGGGTGGGTTTCAAAGCCTCTCACGATTCAGAATCCAGTTGTCCAGGCATCAAAACTCTCAGCTTCTTCCAAGCTGCTGCTGAAGCGGTGAGGGAAGCTCTGCAGCCACACTCCCATCCTTCCCCTTCACTTGAAACCCTGCCTTTGTTGGTTAGAGCAGCAGCTGCCGGCGCGGCAGCGGGGCCGATCTCTCGCAGCCGCGGAGCTTCAGCGCGCTGAGGGGAGCGGAGCGGCTCTGCCTCCCGAGGAGCCCCAGAGGCGAGTGAACATCTGCTCGGGCACCGCACACCATCCTCCCGAGGGGCTCCGCAGCCTCCTCCGCCGGGAGACACCTGCAGGCTGCCAGGCTCGCTGTCCCCTGCTCCCGTAGGATGGGCAGGAGCGGCTCAGCGTGCGGCAGGAGGAGGCAGGGACGCAGGGACAGCTGCCACCCGCTGCCACCGTGCCCGGCACTCGCAGCCCGCTGCAGCACGCCGGGCTGGGGGAGGCGTCACGGCTCAGTCCCGAAAAGAATTATTATTATTATTAAGATTATTATTATGCGCAGCCCTGAAAGGCATTTTTGGTATACCCCGGAATAGAGATTGGTCCAGGAGGAGGAGGGATGGAGCGGTACTTTGGCAATTCTGCTCTGAGCTAGAGAGTAGTAAATCCAGGGCTTGATTCTGCTTTTGGCATAATGGTGCAAATCTCTTTCTTCAGAGGCTTGCTCTGGCAGTCCCAGAGGAATTTAGGTTTGAGTGTGTGATGTGTGAAACCCACATCTTTCACAACACCAAGTGGAGCCCCTTGCCCAGGCTTTTATCCCCAGACACAGCTCTTGCAGATGTTTTGGTTGAAGTGAATCTGGAGGAAATTCTGTAGGTCCTGCTTTGTGTCGACAGACAGAACTAATTAGAGCAAACCCTGGGTTTTGTTCACCAGATGGCAATGCCGAGAGCAGGGAGCAGTTAATACTCAATATCCCATTTCCAAATAGAAGTGTATTGTCCTCTCACGACGTCCAGCTGGCTCATAGAGTTTCTGACCTCTCTGCACATTGCTCAGAGCTCTCTGCTGAGTGCTGAGTGCCCTGAGGAGCAGAGCACCTGAGGGTGGTGGAGGCAGAACCCGTGAGACCCCATGCCCAGCAGTGGGGCTGGCCACACTTGTCACACCATGGTTCTGTCCCTTGGTGGATGAACACAGTTTTCTGTGGTGAAGAAGTTGTTTGTTCTGTGGTGAAGAAGAAGTGCCTTCTGAGTGGTGTCTCCTTCCAGCCTAGTTTGGACATCCTGCAGGGGCCATGGGGGTGGCCTCTCAGAGCAGCCCAGCAGTGGCTTTCCCTGGAAATATCCACTATTGGAAATATTCCACATTGGAAATGTCCAATATCCTGGAAATATCCATGTAGCCAAGCAGGCTGACACTGATAGGCAGGACAGTGCTCATGGAACCCCCAGGCAGTGCTGCTGTGCTTTGCTGTCTGCACACAGGACATGGGGGGCAGTTTCTCCAGCTCCTCAGGAAAGCCAGGGAGGATGAGGTGAAATTTCTCCTTAAGGCTTCCAGGACCTGTTCCTGCCTTCCTGATGCCCCCTCACAGGTAGCCACAGGACTCATGGCTCTTTTTGATGCCTGTCCCAAATCTCTGAGCCCAGCTGTTGATGAGATTTTCCACTATTTTTACACTCACTTGGCTTTGGTAATTTTTTGTTAAGAAGAAACT